GTGTTGTGTTTCATTTCGTCAAAAAAAAATTAATGCAGAGTCTCGACTTGACATTAGCTTTCTTATGCAAATATGATACCACTATTAGGATTGGAATCGTTTAAAATGAAGAAAAAAAAAATAATTTGCTGATCTTAGCTGAACGTCACGTTAAATGTGAAAGTAGGTTACTGGCACATGTCGAATCCAGTAGCACGAATTCCTTGGTTAGGAAGGTCTAAAGCGCGGTTATTCTTCCGTGATTATTCCACCTTTGTGATAGCAAAGTTCTACTGAGGATGAGAATGGAGATTTACAACTGTGTAACTGTGTCTTGTTGAAGGTATTGCTTAGTGTATTGATTTATTTGTATGATTGGAAAAATGGGAGTAAAATTTATTATCTAAAGTAAACGTAAATCGAATTTACATTATTCAGAATTAATAATGAAGTTCGTGAATAACTTTGTTTCAGAAATATTTCCCGCCTTTAAGAGTTTGAAATTTAAAGCCTTACTCAACTTGCCATCTCTTTGTCTTCACGTCAAACGAGTCACGATTGCGCTGGAGAATGCTGCGTTTTCTTTGAACGACGCTAAGGTTTTCATCGATATTTAATGAACCTCGGAGAAAGACACAAAGCGTGGAAAATTTCGATGTATGTATTCTGTTATGCCGATCAAGGTTACTTAGGGGTAAATATTGTTGTGTAGAGCTGTATAGTAATGTCAACTGCAGTAGCAAGAAGTATAATGCTATCTAGGGGTAGATATTGTTGTATAGCGCTGTATCGTGATGTAGAGTGCAGAAGAGGGAAGTATAGTGGTATCTAGGGGTACATATTGTTGTATAGCGCTGTATAGGGATGTAAACTGCAGAAGAGAGAAGTATAATGGTATCTAGGGGTAAATATTGTTGTATAGCGCTGTATCGTGATGTAGAGTGCAGAAGAGTGAAGTATAATGGTATCTAGGGGTACATATTGTTGGATAGCGCTATATAGTGATGTAAACTGCAGAAGAGAGAAGTATAATGCTATCTAGGGGTAAATATTGTTGTATAGCGCTGTATCGGGATGTAGAGTGCAGAAGAGTGAAGTATAATGGTATCTAGGGGTACATATTGTTGTATAGCGCTGTATAGTGATGTAAACTGCAGAAGAGAGAAGTATAGTACTATTTAAGGGTACATGTTGTTTTATAGCGCTGTATTGTGATGTAAATTGTGGAAGAGGGAAGTATAGTGCTATCTAGGGGTACTTGTTGCTTTTTATGATCAATCAAATATTTTTGCTCGCGCGCAATTGGTGTAAACGCAGCAAGTGACTAAATATCCCCCAGCTAATACTGGGTGATATCCAAGAATATCACGCAAGCGACATTCCCCAATTTGCAAACCTTACGACAACCTCGATAAGTCTTCGTGTCAAACTTAATTCAATTCAGTGAGCTGTTCATAAAGATTCTTTCACGAGCGTTGCAAAATAACTGAAGGATGAAAATCACAATAGCCTCTATTTTGCACGAAAATATGTTCGAATATTTGTCCTTGGACATTGTCCCTCGAAGCTCACAGTTTTGGCATCTTGGAATAGATAATGTCCGCGGACAAATATCCACAATTATTTTCGTGCCAAATTGGAGCAATAGTTTATAGAGCGCTGTATGCTGAAAAAAATTCAGTAGAGGGAAGCATAGTACTATTTAGGGGTTCATATTGTTGTGATGCGCTGCACAGTTACTTCATTTTACAGGTTACAGTGCTACTCAGGGGTATAATGTTGTATTGTGCTGTATAATTTTAAAAGTTGCAATTAAAGGGATGTATAGTGCTATTTAGAGGAGGAGGAGAGGGGCATATAGGCCTACGTATTCGAGGAGTTTGTTCTACAACGGAAGGAGACATGGAGTCCAATAATCGACGAAACGTGTTTGCTCCTAATGAATCTCTCGGGCTGTTATCGACTACCTCTTAGGAAGCATTACAATAACTTAACCTTTCTTGATTATTGTCTTGTCAAAACACCTTTTCAAGGTCCTCTCTGCTTCTACATCCAAGATGACGGCTACCGACTCGGAGAAGTCTATGGATTGGCCTGCTGCCATCTTGGACTCGCGATGTAAGTGGACCCTGGGCGAGAGTTTGGTACATTCCCAATCAGATGATAGAAGAAGCCTTAATTTGGACATTGAAGGACTCGTTTCCAACAAAATGCATCGATTATGTCGCAGAGACTTAGAGGGAGCTCTTTCGTTTTATAGCTGCTACTGTGATGAGAGGACCGAGGAGAGCAAACACTGGCAAGTGAGACTTAAAATTGAGACCCCCTGTGGACTGGGAATGAATCGAAAGGAAAACTAAGATTTTACTAGACATGATGCTAAGAGGACACCATCCTAAAGTGAACAAAATAGGCATAATAACAACTACTCTGGGGAAGTAAGGAGGTATATGAGTTGTAAGAGACCTGACGTTGCGCGAGGATTGAGACGAATGAAAACTGAAACAGACAAGGAGATAGTCGCGTCTAATGAAGCGCGTAGAAGAATAAAGTTGAGGGCGATGAAAGAAGTGCGCGTAAAAATGAGAATAAAGGAAAAGTACGATGAAAAAAAGGGAAGGAACAAAAGGAAGGAGAAAAAAGAGATGCACAAATGTGAAAAGTGAGGCGTAAAAAGGTAAAAAGGGCGCACATAGGTAACAGTATGAACACGTCCGTCGGCATTCAAAATCGTGTGACAATATGGAGAACGGTAGACAGTGAAAGAGACACAATCGAAGAGTCGACGAGCGTTTGTTAAGTGGGTGGGGGCTCGAAACATGGAATGTCAGTACACTGTCAGCTGCAAAGATTATCAACTTGGCGCGCGCGGGTCAAAACAAGCATTGAAGTCCCCGTAAGATCTGTTCTCTCTGCATCTCACGCGAATCCTTAGAATATGGAGACAGACAATGAAAACAAAGGCAGTTTTTGTATTTTATACACTCTCTATTTATTTTACACAAAAAAGTAAAAAAAAGTACAATACAAACTGCATTAAATTGTTCAAGGCATTAAGTAAAGTACGCGCTAAACGGAGACACTAAAATGAACCCATTTATTCCCAAGATTGTTCATAACTTAAATTCTCCTCACAAAATTAATGCACCGACAAACATGGTATCAATAAGAATTAGAGAAAATCTACACTAGCGGATCATTTTTCAGTAGAAACGTTATGTTTCATCGAATTCTCAGAATGAAGCAACAAAGAAACACATTCTTATCAGTTGGGAGAATTTTTCTTCACAACTTGGGAGTTAATGAGTTAATGAATAAAAACTAAGGTAAATGAACAAATAGCCTCAACTTTAAATACAAATAGCATTAAAACAATTCACACCAAATACACTGACATTATAAAAAGAATGTTTAGTCGAAATTATCCCAGCTTGTTTTTAAAATCCTACGTTACATCATATTCAACCATGTGCAAGGTTAACTATTACATTTTATACCAGCATATACCAACGGTAGTTATGAAAATCTGTCAAAAATTAACATTGATTTTACAAAAATTTCTTTTAAAACAGCTGTGATACAGTATACCTTAAACTTTTGACCACATAACGGGTTCTAATTACAAAGCGTGCTCTGAATACCTAAGTATAAATTCTTAAATTTAAGAAATATATCATCATACATCTCCAAATTATACTAAGGTGAATTTAAAGCCATGAAAAAAGTTTGAACAGCAAATTTTCAAAAAAATGCAAGTTTTATCCTGAAGCCCTGAACCTTTTTAACTACGGCCTAGATTTACATTTATTCATGAACATTTTCACCAAAATAATTCCCATTGAGGACTACATGGCTTACTTCAAGCGTTTCCCTAATTTATTGGCGTAAATATTTTCCTAATGAAAACAACAAATTCCATGTCACATACATTAAAAGTCACAGCAATGGAAATTTTAGTTAAAGTTAACTCTGTTTCGCTATTTCCTTGTTTAGATTACATGGACAATTTGTCTCTGTTGTCGTTCTCTAAAACAAACTGATGAGTGTTTGATAAAACGGACTAAAATTGATCAAACTCGTTTGATTGAAAGCAGGCCGTTGTAGCCAGCTCTTTGACTTGTTGTAGGCCTTTTTCCTGAGAAATTTCAATTTTTGTTTCAACATTTGTAAGAGTCATATTAGAAAAGTCAAGCGGGCGGAAAACATTTGTAGGCCGGGCCCACGGGACTAAAGGCTGGCCACACCCCTGAGAGTAGGTCTAATGTCTCTAACATATGGTCAGTAAATTCATCAACATCATCTCTGATGATTACTTCTTCAAATTAAGCTTAGAATGGCAATCTTGGCACTGATGGAATTAGATTGCATTAAAATGGATTGAGTTGAAAATGATAATCAATTTTTTTGTAAAGATAATTGCAAATTGCAACAAAGTAATTTATGACGTAGAAAAACCATTAAGATCAATTCCCATATGGCTGCGAATTTTGCAAATCACATTTTTGAAATTAAAATTTCGCCACCTTTTGCAAATGACAAACTGTTTCTTTGCTTATCAAAAGCTTAGAGTATCAACGTAATTAAAACCCGGTGGACAAGCTCCTGGTTGTGTACAAGAAAAGAAACCTTTAAATTATTTTACACATAACTGATTGCAATAAAGGAATAGATCTGAGTGTCATTTTGGCGAAACGAAAACCTCGTAGTCGCCTTCAACAACTCAGGCGTTAACAATAGAAGCCTTATAGCATCCAGTTCTCTTCGCAAGCATCTAAATTTTTAAAGGTAAAAAAATAACAATTCCACTGAACAAAATATACTGAAATAGTCTGTTTTATTTCTTCACCAAAGTAAAGTCACACATCTCAAGTTCCATTTAACAAAAAAGTGAAAAGTAATGAAAAATAGCCAAAAAGCGCCAAAATAGAGAAGCATTTCAACCTTCCAAGTTCCTGCGTCATTCATTTTGAGATGGAATAAAAAAGTTTTCATTTATGTGATTTCATATTCAAATTTTCTCTTTCCTTTGCCATGAAGTCAAGAGTGACGTCATCTCCAATCAGCAAAAAGGGCGCCCAGTATTTGATGTCGCAGAACGTGTCTGATTCTCTGAGGCTTTTCATGGCCAGGTTCAGTGACTCGCTTGCTGGTTTACCTCCTGCAAGTTGTTGATAAAAGTGTTTCATGAACTCAAGAGTAGCCTCGTCATCAATCGCCCACAGGGAAGCCACAATAGACCGAGCACCAGCCCCCATAAAAGCGCGCGCAATGCCAACCACACCTTCAGCCTTGATCTCGCCCCGGCCGCTGTGGCAGCAACTAAGCACAACAAGTTTGGCCCGAAGTTGAGCATTCAACACATCTCCAATTGTTAAAATGTAATCCTCCTCAGTTGGCACAGTAGATATTCGGTCTGGGTCAGGTGTAAGAGCAATTTCGCCAGTTTCCATACATCCGTGTGCCGCAAAGTGAACTAGGGAAACGGAACTGAGTCTTTTCAACACCTCACGTTTCGTGGCCTGACTGCCAGTGATTGGCGTGATATTCAGAATTTTTCCGATCATTTCTACTTCTTTTTTAGCATACTCAAGCTGCTCGAAGACTTTCTTTCCCTCGCTGTTAGTAACCTCAGATACCCACGGATCTCCTACAAGTAACGCACCACTGCTTTTGTGATAATCATCTGGGCAATCGGCAATGAGTCTAAGACTTGCTAACGATGGAGCGACTCGAATTGTGAACGATTCACACAGGTATTTAGAATTGCCATCCTTCAATGCAGCGTAAGGAGCGATCCATAGGGGTCCATCAGGAATAATGAGTAGCTCATCCCCTTCAATCAAGTCCGCCACCGGCTTCATAACGATATCATACAAAGTGCTCAAGCATCCGTCTCGTTGGATGTGAGGTTGAGGCTTGGCTTCTTTGGTCTTCTCATCCACTTTTGAACGGCCCTCCCTCAAAGCATCTAAAGATCGGTTCTCGCATCTCACATTAGAACGAACACCAAGTTGTGTATAGACACCGAGCATGAACGACTCAAAGGACAGGCTGGATCCACTATTCTCTGAAACAAAACCTTTCAGTTTACTTTGTCTTAACTGAACTTGTTTTCCTTCGGACACAACCCAAAGATTGACGTTAGCTTTGTCCACTGCCTGAAAGACAGTGTTTGATGGAACGTTTTTTAAAACTGCGCAATCTTCATCTTCTCCCTCTTGGTGACTTGTTCCACCACGATAACTGGATTCCATGAGGTCGGTCAGAGCTTGAGCCCGTCCTTTCTCAGCAACAAATAAGGCTTCATCTACATTACCTTGTTCTAGGAGAACTCTCCACAAACCCGTATACGCCACTTGGTGCTGATTTCGAAAATTAACTTTCCACTCATCTTTAGATATTAGAAGTACTCTCAAGGAATTGAATAAGTTTATGCTAGCTTGGTAATGTTCAACGGCTTTTGGCAGTCTACCTTGTAACTCAAAAACCAATCCTAGTGAACAGTAGGCCATTGCCTCCGAGGATTTGTCTCCTACTTCTTTAGCTATTAAAAGATGTAGGTTGTGGTACTCTATGGCTTTTTTGAAATCACCCAGACTAAGATAAGCATTGCCAAGATTGCCATAAGCACCACCCTCCCCATGCTTGTCTCCTACTTCTTTAGCTATTTTAAGATGTAGGTTGTGGTACTCTATGGCTTTTTTGAAATCACCCAGACTAAGATAAGCATTGCCAAGATTGCCATAAGCGTTACCCTCCCAATGCTTGTCTCCTACTTCTTTAGCTATTTTAAGAATTAGGTTGTGGTACTCTATGGCTTTTTTGAAATCACCCAGACGGTCATAAGCATTGCCAAGATTGCCATAAGTAGCACCCTCCCCATGCTTGTCTCCAACTTCTTTAGCTATTTTAAGACCTAGGTTGTGGTACTCTATAGCTTTTTTAAAATCACCCAGACTAAGATAAGCATTGCCAAGATTGCCATAAGCGTTACCCTCCCCATGCTTGTCTCCTACTTCTTTAGCTATTTTAAGAATTAGGTTGTGGTACTCTATGGCTTTTTTTAAATCACCCAGACGGTGATAAGCATTGCCAAGATTGCCATAAGCACCACCCTCCCCATGCTTGTCTCCTACTTCTTTAGCTATTTTAAGATGTAGGTTGTGGTACTCTATGGCTTTTTTGAAATCACCCAGACGGTGATAAGCATTGCCAAGATTGCCATAAGCACCACCCTCCCCATGCTTGTCTCCTACTTCTTTAGCTATTTTAAGATGTAGGTTGTGGTACTCTATGGCTTTTTTGAAATCACCCAGACTAAAATAAGCATTGCCAAGACTGCCATAAGCGTTACCCTCCCCATACTTGTCTCCTACTTCTTGAGCTATTTTAAGATGTAGGTTGTGATACTCTATGGCTTTTTTTAAATCACCCAGACGGTAATAAGCATTGCCAAGATTGCCATAAGCGTTACCCTCCCCATGCTTGTCTCCTACTTCTTTAGCTATTTTAAGATGTAGGTTGTGGTACTCTATGGCTTTTTTGAAATCACCCAGACTAAAATAAGCATTGCCAAGACTGCCATAAGCGTTACCCTCCCCATACTTGTCTCCTACTTCTTGAGCTATTTTAAGATGTAGGTTGTGATACTCTATGGCTTTTTTTAAATCACCCAGACGGTGATAAGCATTGCCAAGATTGCCATAAGCGTTACCCTCCCCATGCTTGTCTCCTACTTCTTTAGCTATTTTAAGAATTAGGTTGTGGTACTCTATGGCTTTTTTGAAATCACCCAGACGGTGATAAGCATTGCCAAGATTGCCATAAGCACCACCCTCCCCATGCTTGTCTCCTACTTCTTTAGCTATTTTAAGACCTAGGTTGTGGTACTCTATGGCTTTTTTGAAATCACCCAGACTAAAATAAGCATTGCCAAGACTGCCATAAGCGTTACCCTCCCCATACTTGTCTCCTACTTCTTTAGCTATTTTAAGATGTAGGTTGTGATACTCTATGGCTTTTTTTAAATCACCCAGACGGTAATAAGCATTGCCAAGATTGCCATAAGCGTTACCCTCCCCATGCTTGTCTCCTACTTCTTTAGCTATTTTAAGATGTAGGTTGTGGTACTCTATGGCTTTTTTGAAATCACCCAGACTGTGATAAGCATTGCCAAGATTGCCATAAGCGTTACCCTCCCCATGCTTGTCTCCTACTTCTTTAGCTATTTTAAGATGTAGGTTGTGGTACTCTATGGCTTTTTTGAAATCACCCAGACTGTGATAAGCATTGCCAAGATTGCCATAAGCGTTACCCTCCCCATGCTTGTCTCCTACTTCTTTAGCTATTTTAAGATGTAGGTTGTGGTACTCTATGGCTTCTTTTCCCTGATTATAGAGATCTATGACTTTTTTGACATCACCTGAACTTGCACTACCGTGGTCATGACTAATAGGATCTTTTTCCTCCATGGACTTATCTCCCACTTCACTGACAGACTGAAGTCTTAATGACGACAAGATCCTATTGTTTTTGTCAATCTTTTTTATGTTAAGGGTTAAAAATGTGGAAAAAACAAAAATATATAAAATAAATACATATCTTTAAAATTTTTATGTGTCCATAGGAAAGCACAACGAAAGTTTCTGAGTCTCTAAGTAGAGGCAAAAGGTCGAAGGCAGAAAGTCTGCATAAGATATGTAAACATTAAAGAGCTTTTCGTTGTGGCTTGTTTTAGAGAGATCATCTACCCAAGTACTTTGTATAAACTGGATGAATATTAGTCTTCTAACCCTTTAACTCCCGTGAGTGACCAAAAGAGAATTTCTCCTTACAATAGCAATACAATATCAATCAGATAAGTGTTGAGAGTAAAAAAAAATATATCAATTTAAAAATAGTTAGTTGATGCAATACTGAATTCTCTGTACTAACATTACAAGAATTGTATGGTTGAATGTAAGGATAATTACAAATTTGGTCTGGGAAATTAAAGGATTATTTAAACTAATGTACCAGTTATTGGCATGGATAGTAGAACTAAGTCAAATTGGCTAAAAGGAGTAATTTCATTAATAAGTCATGAGGTAATAACTTCTCCTATGTTTTTAATCACACACACTTAAAGTATATGAGCTGACAAGTTCCCATCATAATTAATACCCTTCTTTGTATTTTCTCCCTTGAAAGTATATGAGCTGGAAACTTTTTTCCATTATACCCACGGTTAGAAATGAAAGATTCCTTCAAAGGATACAGCTAGTCCCTTATCACACCAAGTGATTGCTTCTTCAAATCTCTTCAATTCAATACAAGCAGTGGCTCCTGTAGGCAACAACACAAATAAGCATACTGTTACTGTAGCTCAATTCTGAGAAAAGAACCTGAAACCATTGAAATCATCACAGACCAGAAGAAAAAAAAAAGACAAAACAAAACAATACAAAAAAACTGAACGAAAAAGAATAAACAGGCCCTATTAGGTTTCAGTTAGATTTATTTAGGTCTACAGACAACTGAAACTTCTAAGAACACTTAAATTGGGATCAACAACTCCCACAAAAACACTAAAAGTTAGGTAAGTCCTGATCCTTCTTTTTAAAACAGCTAGATAGTGACTTAAGAGCGCGTCCACGAGAGCACCGGGTAGTCGCGCTACATGCCATCTCACCGATTTCAATGAAACTTTGTCAGTTTAAAGGGTCTACCTCAAAACTCAAAAAAACCGACTGGTTTCTGTTTTGGTTTTTTCCGGGTGGATATAGTCCACTCCCCCCGGTTTTTCTTGGTTTTCACCAAGGAAATCGCTTCAAATAGGTAAAATGTATGAAGCTTTAACTGCGATGGTATTTAACCGATTACTTTGAGAATTTGCACACATATTTTTACATCCTTAGTTAATGGCCGCCGCGAGTATCAGTCAGTTTGATTGACGGCTTGTCAATGAACAGAGGCAAATATACGACTTTGGTTTTAGACTTTTTGATTCATCTAAATATTTTACAACTTTGAGGTCAAATATCTCCCGTTGCCAGAAAACTACAACACTAATCTTAATTACCCTTTTTAACCCATCATTTCATCTCTGAAAATCATCAAAAAAATCTTTGGGCACTACCGTATTTTTGTCTTGGATACCTTTTAAAATCTGCGACTGTGACAAGTTTCTCTCAACTACACCTGTCACGCAATTCTTGCTCTAGGCGGTCACTTGACAAAATAAACCTACATTTTTTAGCTTGATTGTTCAAGAAAGGTGAAAACTGTGAAAAACTTTCGAGATTTTTTGTAGGAATGGAAAATTTCACGTTTAGAGAGATGCATGTTGACGGAAGATCAATGGGAAGATCGTAGCGTTTCTTTCTTGAGTCGTTTATTACTTTGAAGATTTGCTAAAATCAGGTTATAGGGCTCTTGTACAGAACAAAAAATTCATTAGACTATACTTTGATCGTCTATTATCATTATCGCACAGTTTACGATAAGGAAACTTTAACAGGAGAGGAGATTTTGAAGTCACATGTCGCCTGCTTGTCGACGTACAAGTTCCCGAGTGTAACAACTTCGGCTTTTCCATACCGCGAATGACGGGAAACTCTGCCCCCCTTATTTTTTAGGAAATATCAATAGCCCCATGAATTCATTAACTACGTCATGTTTCCAGAAAATAAAACTGGAAAATGTTTTTTCCACTTTCCACCATCAAGAAATTCCACGTATAGGAATAGTATTTGTAGGGGTCACTGCGTGACCTTTTATGAGAAGTAAAGATTGTTCATCTTTTTTTTCAAGAAGGCACTTCTAGAAAGTTCCTAATCCTTCTGTTATCTTATTTTCCTGTTTTTTGACTGCAAATGTCATCTGCATTTGCTATTATTTTCGCTGATTTTCATGGCCTTTCCTGCGTGCATGTGCGAGCTAGTTCATATACAGGACTCTTTCGAGTTTCTCTGGCTGGTGTCGGGCTTATGTGTGTAGGTCTGGTTCAAAAGATATCTGCACGCTGCAACACGGGTTCCTATGTTTTCTCCTTTTTCTTTATTTGTATTTTCATTCTCTTGCTTGCATTATCACACATTAATGTTTTTTTATTCCCTCAGCACGTTCCCTCAGATTTGGAATTAGGCCATGAAAAGTCAATATTGACCAGAACTGAAATCCTCTTCTATCACTATTTGTTTCAGAGAACCCCCCTCATTTGTGACTTTATTTTTCAAGAATATGTGTTTTTATTTGCTATTTATTTCCATTAGAACATGAAACTAGGTTCTGATAAGTTTTTTTGTCTCGTGACTCCCAAACACTGTGTTTGCGACAACATCAATTGAGAAATCAAAGGCAATTACGCCTGAGAAATTCGCTTGTAGCCTTCTACCCGCAGAAGGCAACTCCATATAATGAAACGTTCTAAGACCTCTGTAAACTAGAGACATTGGGTGATGTTGAGGAGTGAAATATTTACACTAAATCTGTGACCCTTAAACGGATCACGTACTCGTACGTGTAACGTCCGGAAAATGTCACGCATGTATAACACCGTAGGCGCACCTGGCGTATTCTATCCACTGACTTCAATAGTAAAGAGACAACTTATTTACTATTTGTATATGAGCAAGCTTATTTACCCTACTTGAAAAAATCCTTGATGAAGTCTACTATTGTCAGACGAAACGCATGGGAGATAAATACAAGTTTTTACTTTCTCAGTTCGTGCAGTGATGCTCACTAGTTTGTCCCGTCAAAAATGCTTTTAATGTGAAGTCACGACGCCTCGACAGAAAAACTAAGCTCACCCTGTCATGATCAATGGTTTGATACCGTAAGTACCAATTTAGGTACATCATCGGGCTTTGATCACAATGATGAAAAAACGTGCGTTTCCTCACGCTCGCCACGTTTATTCTTTGGAAAAATTTTTTTACTGGAGGGCGATGTCGCTTAGCTTGGCGCGTCTTGACTCTGGCCGACGAAAATTATCCAGGTGAACTCCATGAAAATCTAGTCAAATGTTTAAAAACTTTGTCTACCCTTGATTTGCACGCAGAAAAAAAAGGCAAATCCCGAACGGTATTTCAAAACACTTTACTCATTAGTCAATTTATGAACTGTTTCATAGCAGCCAGAGGAAAAAGAAAAATTGAAACAACCGGCGTATCGGTTAAATGAATTCCAATTTTTTCAACAAGGAGTTGGCAAGTTCATTTTTCCTAGTAAATTTAAGTGGGGGTCATTTTTTTGTGAGAGCCGATCAAAGATAGACATCTCTGAAACGTCTCTGAAACTCTTTTTAAAAAGAGCGTACACTTCCGGTAATATTTTTTCCCTTCTCGCAACAGCGCAACAGACATTGTTAATCCTATGTAGTGTAGGTGTATCAGTTGTATTACGTCTTCATAGTGATGCCATATAAGAAATCGAGTGTCTAAAAAGCCCTCAATTCAATCTAACACTCGAATTGATAATGTCAAGATGGTGCAGTTGTCTTGTTCATTTGCAACTAACTGTAGAACCAAATGTCACTTTTCTCGCACTGGCCAGGGACGGAAACAGCTCATACCTCTAAATTCGTGGGTATACAGCTTAAAAAAAACATTTGAGAGACGTCGATGTATCCCAAACATGCGTTTCGTCCGAGATGGAGCTTATTCTAGCGCGTATTGGCTTATTTGGAGATTACGAAGGCCGCGATTTCACGATGTACCTCAAATATCGTGCACAACTTGGTGTGAGATTCAGACCTTCGGGTATCCTCCTCATAAAAATCGGAGACATAAAGCGAGAGAGAGATGAATCTGCAGATGGCAGAAGAAATCAAAGCTGGTGGCGAGTCTTTCTGGTGGCGGCAAGGTGACTGTAAACCTAAATAGAACGCCTACTGTAGCTGCTATCTTAGAGTGGACGATGAATAAGGAAGAAGGCCAAGAAGAGCGCTTATCTGAACATCAGTTTTCCTAACTGGTGATTTGTGACTGAGATGAACTTTATATCATATGATTGCTAGGGATACGCAGGTACTGTAGAGGCGCTCACATAGATAGAGGTGGGCGATCCCCCTCTGACTTAAGAACTGCGACAAGTTTATAGCGCAGACCAACTGGCACAGTTTGAAGCACCTCAGGGTCTCACTAGGTTCGTCACATTAGAAACCTTCAGCAAACTAGTCGTAGAAGCGGGTGGTTATCAGTAACGTGCACAGATTTCTGAACGTGGGTCACCGCGAGAACTATACCCAATCCGTCATAGACGGAACAAGAAAGCGAGATATTCTCGCTAAAAGAAGGATGTATCAAGACGTTTCAGTCATTGGCTGCCATCCAAATGTACCCTGACAAAGACAAACACAGTGAAGCCGACAAAAAAATTCCGCCTAGGATAAGATCAAGAGGGAATGGACTAAGACCGGCTTGCCATTCTATAGGGGACGGCTACGTTCGAGGTCGGACCTCAGGTAAAAATTATGACGAACAATCCTTAACTAGCCAAGTGGACTTTGGATGGGCTCTTTGGAAAACATAAAAACAGCCACCTTTTCTCAGAAAGCAGACAATTA